GTCGGATTTCATCGACGTTTTCATCAGTTTTCGATGTCGATGGCCTCCCAGGACGAGCATCGTCCTCAACAGCCTCACGACCACTTTTAAAGCGTTCATACCACTGGTACACCTTTGTTTTCGATAGAGTATCGTCACCATAACACTTTTGTAACATTTTTAATGTGTCGGAACACTTAATTTCATTTTTATAGCAAAATTTAATGCAAGAACGTTGTTCAAGTTTTGAATCCATTGTAAAAATCACCGCGACGTAAAAACTTGATGTAAAGAAATCACTGTCATAAAGGTAAATGAACAGCTGATAAGCAGAAGCTTGGCATGGGTGTCCGTAACAGTGCTGCCAACGTGACGCAAACAACAGAATTCTAAACCGATAAGCCCGCGAGATTTAAATTAAAAATTCCGGTTATTTTTTGATCATGGTAGTATTTAGGAATATCAGCAAACTGTTTCTATGTAATAGGAAATTTTATAGCTACAGCAGCAAATTCAGTTTCAGCAAACCAGTAATTAAGCTGTGGTAGAAACTATTTTTTTTTTCCGTGCGAGTATCGTAAGAAAATCAATCGCGTAATTGATATAATTGACTTTATATTCGTAAACTTAATTAACGACGGAAAAAAAGTAATTTAATTGAAACGTTTAATTTATAATTAACAAAAGCTTTTTATTGCCTTATTATTGACGATCCGTTCAGGAGCCGCAGAGTCCAATATCCGTTTCTAATGGCTCGGCAAATGCCGTATTTCCTGGGTTCTCAAATTCGAGACACCGTTTATCGAACGGATTAGCCACAATCATATCGTTATAACAACAGTCCGGTGAGCAAGATTGCAAAGAAAATTATGAAAGAAGAACGCGGTGTTGTATTTGGAACAATAAAAATTAGAGGAGGATGCAAGAGAGTTCAAATTCGAAACGGAATTTGAAACAAAAAAAAATAGGAAACGTCTGATCACTGTATTAATAAAACATCGCTAAACGAAAGAAGAAGAAGAAGAAGAAGAAGATGAAGAAGGATATAAAAAAAAAAAGCGATCCTTCGTTCTGAATGGAATCGAACGTCACTTTCCTTTTCTCGCTCGTCCGTTCATAGAGCGAGAAACCGTTCGAGGGAGAAACGGACTATTATCCACAACAGATGGTTCTGCCCGACACCGATCCGAGTGAAGCGGTAGTGTCTGCGCCTTTGTTTTGTTACCGTTGTTCCGGTAATTGCGGTAAATACACCGTCCATTTTCGGTAATCACCCTCGTGCGCCTCCTGCACCCTGTCCCCCCTCCGGTCGTCCCCTGGGCGCGCGGCGGTCCCCTTTGAGAATTTCGAAACGACCTCGACCTTCCGCTCGGTAGGCGTAACGACAGTTTTACCCGGGGACCCCGGATCGGTCCCGACCTCGACCTCGGGCCGCGTGGTAGGTCGAGCTCGGTAGGAACGATCTCCGAAACGAAATCCGAAACTGTATCGGTTGTATACCGTATCGTTTGTTTGTGGTCAATGACTTGGATTTCCGAATCTTGCGTATTCTTCTTTTTAGAAAAAAAAAAAAGAAAAATAAACAATTCAAAAGAATTCACACGGAGATGTGATAATAAATTCATTACTGTGACAAATGGGAGACGTACAACGGCGATAACGCGTATTAGAGATAGTAAAGTATCATAAATAGAGGAAAAACTCTCGCATATATATATATATATATATACATATGTAGAAGATTTTAATGAACTTGAGAAAAAACGATATTTACATAGATATAAAGTTTTCCATATAAAGGCGGAGGTTTGGTATTTCCCACTGTTTGCACGCGAGGAAAGAGGTAATTCCAATGAGTTTCGTGATAATTTTCCCTAAAGCTGCGAACGAAACGTTTAGCAACGGCTTAGGTAATTATCATTTGAGAAAACACACGTGTGTTATTACGGAAGTCTAATCAAACCGTTTACGCGGAGCAACCTGTTTCGAAATCTCATTCAAATAAGGATCTTTGCAAAGAGAGAGAGAGAGAGAGAGAGAGAGAGAGAGAGAGAGAGAGAGAGAAAAGAGAGAGACAGAGAGAGCGCTAAAGAACGAGACAGAGAAATTTTGCAAATTTATTTTATTAAACAAATGAATGAAATAAATTCGGTTGTACGAGCCGTTTGCAGGATGTTGTGCAGAGAATGTGCTTGAAAATATATATATGTATACACACATATATACGTCGAAACAATTTTTTTCCTCCATATAGGATGCTGGATTTGCATCACGTATCTATGAAGGACCCCAAAAAATACCTCCCTAAATAATTTTAAAATATTGCGAAAAAAACTTATTATTATTTTATTATTCTCATTCTTTTTCTCGCATATTTATAATAATAATAAAAAAAAAAAAAAAACATTGAGGACATTTAACTCTCTCTCTCTCTGCACGCTTCAATGAGAAAGATCAGTGAATCTGAAAACTTGACTGCGGTGAAGGGATTCCTGGAATGCAGTAGAGACGCGCCCTTGAAAAGCGAGTTTTGTCATCGGCCGATCTACGTCTACAATGAGAATCGTCAATGTTGTTACTTGACTTTCTTGACCGGTTCTTTTTCCGCTTAGAAGAAAACGCCTCTACATCGTCGTGTACGTTTTTTTGCTTCGCGCTGGTAACGAACAGTGACGTAGATAATTGTCAATGGATTTTAATTTTTAGGGGTTTTTTTTTTTAAGAACGATACAGTGACGTGTGTTGTAGAAGAACGAAAAATATTGATAACTTTACGTCCGCAATAATAACCTAACATAAAATAATATTTATTAATAAATTAAAGAAAAGACAAAGCTCCAAATATTTTAAAAAACCAGATGAGAGGCAGTTGAAGCCAAATTTGGCTTCAACTGCCTCTCATCTGGTTTTTTAAAATATTTATTAATTTTTTTATAATGTAATAACATTAATTGAATATTAAGAGAAACTTTGACTAGTTTTTTTGTTTTTTGAACTTTCATAATGCGTTTCATCAATTTCTAATTGTATTTGAAACCAGTAAACTTATAAATAAACTTATAAATAAACATATACGTACGGTACAGTATGCGCATATATTTAAATGAATTGATGTTTCATCACCGTGTATACGTATATGGAAAACAACATTACCGAAAAACTTTTTCTGCGAATCGCGCGTGATTCATCGCATTATCATCTGCCGCTCGTTATCGCATCTATCGCTTTCCATTCGGATTTAATTCCGCATATAATCCGGGGACTCGTGATACTTTCAAACTTGGAATGTTTGCAATGCAGATTCTTCTTGACAATAAAAAATCAAGTATAGGCGTAAGAAATTTTATATGTTAAATATATATTGCTAATAGACTTCCGACAAATAGAGCCGACCGATGACGCGAGGAATTGAGTGATTTGAGTTTCTTTCGTGGAAGAGCGATCTGTTCGGAAAGAGAAGGTATAATACCGCGGCAAGAGGAGATTGCGAGGAGTTATGAGAGACTATCGCGCGCGCGCGCGCGGTAAAAAAGTTCTTTGCTAGAACTGAAACGCGCACAAGAATTTTTATTTGTCACACTCGAATGTCACGCGACGAAGAAAATCACTTATGCAAAAAGAGATCTACGCGAAAGATATGATTTGAAAGTCGCGAATCGTTCGACCGCGCTTCTGGAATCTGACTTTTACCAGAATATTTTTTTTTTGCAATAAATCGTCGTTTTATATATTTGATCTTTTGATTTCGCTTGAAACGCGACGCGCGCGAATATCCCGCGAGATACACGCGCGATGCGTGTACGCGTAAAACACTTCCAGAGCTCGTTTACTTCCAGTGCATGTGAACTTCCGTCGTCGCGTGTCTGACTTCGACTTACATATGACTCATATCATAATTAATCTGCCGTGTTACTCACTCGAAAACTCCGTTACCGACTCATGCGATTTGTTACGCATTTTAATGAGATACGATTTCATTCTTCGGAATGTATTCTATAATATTTTTATATTTCAATACGTATGTAATAATAAACATTTAATATATAATAATAATAATATTCTTGATTGTGAAAGGAGGCGTTTCTGAACTAAATGCGGGAAGTTTTGCACAATGAATATATATCTTCTATTAAGAACAAACGTTTCAACTATTTATTTATAGTCATCCTCAGTGTTCTTGAATTCAACCATCACTAAATATTACACAGTTGTAATCTTGGTTATTACTTCATAACTTCAGTTAACTGAAGTTATAACTATTAGAGGATGACTATAAATAAATAGTTGAAACGTTTGTTCTTAATAGAAGATATATATTCATTGTGCAAAACTTCCTGCATTTAGTTCGGAAACGCCTCCTTTCACAATCAAGAATTTTTTAATAGAACTGAACCTGAGGGTCACCTCTGTTACTTTATTAATAATAATATTATTATATATAACATTAACATCTTATTTACGAGTCACGGAAACAATCTGGAAACACAAGCGTAAATAGGCCGCAGATTAAATGTTTAAGAAAAAAGAGAGGAGAATGTTTTATATTATATATATATATATATACATATATATATATGTGAAACATAATATGAAACATAATATGAAACATAAAACACGGATCACAAAACAAATTAAAAACAATCGTAAATAGAGGCCGCAGACTAAATGTTCAATCAAAAAGGGAGGAGAATGTTTTATATTTATTACATATACATATATATATATAATATAACATACATGTATATAATGCAATATAAAAACATTCTCTTCTATTTTTGATTAAACATTTAGCCTACGGCCTGTTTACGTGCTTGTTTCTAGATTGTTTCGTGATTTGTAAATAAAATATTAAACGCGAAAATAATTGAATTAAGTGTGATCTTTCTTATACAATATATGTGTGCGTAATTCTAAAAAACAATTTTGCGTTTTACATTATTTAAAATGTATAAAACTCGGAATTTGTAAAATATCACCTTTCTTCTAAATTAAATGACTGTGAATAATTTAATTTGTTACAGACACGGGTGTGGGTACGGAATGGACTTATTCCACAGCATCGTCTTATCCGGCCGCTCCGGTCAGCAGCGGTGGTTCCTACTCTCCTTTGCCCGGCGGTGCGTTTTCGTACCCGGGAGAATCGCTGCCGCATCACCCGACGACGGAGCCGGTGCCATTACCAACAGGTACGGATCAATTAAATTAAACGCACCAAGTATGTAATCGAAACCTTAAACTGATTTATGTCGTCGTATTCGTTCATATAAATTTCTTATGTGTTGCGCTGCTAATTAAGAAACACCTACGACGATTCTGACGCATGACTCGTTCCAGGAAACGACTCTTTCGTAACGCTCTTATATATTGATGTTTCTTCTTCTATTGGTGCGTCTACTATCAGAAATTCCATTACAGTCGATTTTCCAAATATAGAAACTTATTTTGCAGAAATATTTTTATCTCTTACGAGTGATTATTCATTAACTTGAAATGTCAAAACTGTATTTTACGAGCTGTTGTAAATATAAAAAAATCTTTTAATAGAAAACACTTGTTGTTCCACGCGACTTTTTTGTTTTGTCATAAATTAATTTGTTTCGCGAGGATAAGTTTGCAATTATTATCTCTCTTTCCCCGATTCAGCATTTTTTCCGAGAGAAATCGATGAGACAAATCGACACAATTTCTTTTGCTTGCAGTACTTTCCTCGGAGAATCAGCAGGACACGTACACCCCAAACTGCGTGTCAATGTACTCGGGACACGGCACCTCGCCGACCACGTCCTTGCCCTTGATGCCGACCAGACCAAGCGATCCTGACATCTTCGCCAGCGGCGGGACCGGCAACGCGGGTAGTCCGGGTTATCATTACAGTTCCTGGACGTCCGCCCCGGCGACTCCGGTTCCGGTGGCTTCCCACAATTACAATCCCAATTATCAAGGTTATTACAACAATCCGAGTCAGAATTATATCACTCCGCCGCCGATGGTGCTCTATCCTCAGCTCTACAGCACCGTCAATCAAAACCAGATCCATCTGCATCTGCATGGCGACCTGAGCGAGGAACAGGTCACCATAGCCGGCAGCAATCTCACAATCAGCAGCATCCGGGAGATCGGCGTGCTGGAAGAAAACGAGCAGAGGAACGACGTGTGGAGACCATATTAGAAAGAGAGAAAAAATGTCTGTTAAAGACGATTAAAATCGCGCCAACGGTGTCTCGCGTGTGTGTGTGTGTGTGCGTGCGTGTATCTGTGTGTATGTGTGTATATGTGTGCGAACTGCAATGAGCATGTTACCGATCGTGACAATTTTCCGGATCTCTAATTAGTGCGGTGAGACGGGACATGTGAGAAAGAGACAAAATCATAGGATGTGTGTGCCAATGTACTTTTCGGGAAGAAAGACGGTGCGTGCGATCGTTGTTGCCGCGTAACATATAGCATCCGATCGTTCTCGGCCGCGCGCGAATTAATTTTACGCAAAAAGTCTGATAGTAAAACACGCAATATTCCGGTAATTTTATTAATAATCAGTGATCGCGAAAACGAAAGTGAAAATTGATATATCGACGATTGAATTAATGAGTGAAACAAAGTGATATGACGAACTTTGCGAAACAAACTTTATCGATGTATGAAAAAAAGAATTAGCGATTAGTGAGAGATCTCATTAATCTAAACGTGACATTTTAAGCAGTGAGATTTTTCTTAAGTGCGTGTGATATACCGAAAGAATATTTTTATTTGCTCTCCTGATTTGAAACTCGGATCGTACGGAGCATACGGTTTGATTCTTTTTTTAACACGTTGACTGGGACTGGCACTTGTTCAAAATCAGGTATATTAATTTTCTAACACATTTATGTATGTATGTAAAATAATATATGTAATATATCAGAAAATATTATGTATATATAATATATATATTTTCTAACATTTATATATATGTATATATACGTTATTATATATATATATATATACGTTATATACATATACATATACGTTATATATATACATATACGTTATATATATACATATATACGTTACATATATATACGTATGTATTCACATAACGCAAATGTAATATTACTTTCGATTATACTGGTTTTGTAATTTCTTATTTTCGATAAGATTTATCGGTTTTGCTTTAGACGCTCTATTTTTTGCAGAGAAAATATTTAATTTATTTAATATTTGTTAATCACAAATGACGTGTATTGTATACGAGTATAACATGGCAGTCAATGTGTTAAATCAAAAAAAAATAAGTCAACCGCTGTAACGTTGTAAATACACAGATATTTTCAGAAATGAAATAAAATGTTTCCCTAATAGATTCCTAAATCCCTTTTCTTTCTGAAAACATTTTCAATCCAAAAAAAATAGTCCAATACAATAATTTACTCTCTTTTCAAATATATTATACGAATAAAAAATGTTTTTTCCATTTTTTCACAAATTTAACTTTGAACTTAATTTGGAAAAAATATAAAAAAAAAATGTGACGGTTTCTTCTCGATGGTCTCTTGAAATAGAAAAAAAAAAATCTCCGTTCACGCATTATAGAAAGGGGCGAAGTGTGGCAATTGCCGTTGTCTCTCTTGTCGTCGGGAGAAGGGAGGAATGGATAACCCTTTTTACGAGCGCAGCGAGCTCTATTTAATATTTAAAGCACGCTGGAAATGACGAACGGATGGATAGTTGCGGTTTGGCTGGTCGCGACATCGCCGCTTCGTCGTCCTCTGCGTCCCTTTATTAGCGCGCCACCCCGTGCTGTTTCGTGTCAGCGAAATCTTTAAACATGTCTCTCGCGCACCTAAATTAGTCCGTTGTGCACTTTGTGCGCAATATGTAACTATATTGTTTTTTTTTTGTCATACACATATGTTGAAATCTTTTAAACACATTTTATAATTCTCCAGAAAATTTACTTAAAAATTGTACGCGTTTGCATAATTTAATTTAAAAAGTAAAATAATCGACGGATTCTTTTTTCTTTAATTGTTATCTATATATTATTATACTATTTCTCTTGATTCATTGACTTTTCTAATGCGCAAAATGTATTCAATTATTTAAGTTAAAAATCTGCGAGAGGCAATCATGTGAAAAAGACAATAAACGTTGCGTCACGTCTAACGGGAAATAATAGAAACTAATGGAAAATTGTTTAACGCGCGCACGTTATAAGCTAAGAAGTTACTGTGTGGCTAAAAACTTAACAAGCATCTCTAGGTAATATCTTGCCATCTTGATAACGTGTATACGACACAACGAAATAATCATCATAACTGGAATCAAAGGTAATAATAACGAGAGATTGAAAATATTGAAAATATCTCTGCTTTCCAGTTATTAAGTTCTCTATCTCTTTTTCTTTCTTTAATAATATCACATTATTTGTTTCTATATAAATTACGAAAAGATGAATTCAAGAGAAGTGATCTAAAATAACCAAAAAAATAATAATAATAATCATCGTAGCGTAATTCGCTTTGAGTTCGATTATTTCGCTTTTTTGCGAAGTTTCTCTCTTTTTGCAGTGTATCGTTCAAGAACGCGCGCTACTTCGCGCATCTTCCTCTCTTTCGTTTTCCGGAACGATCGAACAAGACACAGGATACGTTGACTATTACGAAATATATTAAATATAACGCGGAAAGCCCCGGACGAAAAATCTCTTCGGCAAGTTCGCACTCACGGCGAGAGAGATCTCTTAGAGCTCTCTCATCTCTCCCACTTTCCTTCCCGTAAATGTTTACAGCCCCGACACGTCCTGCGAATGGGACGCCACGGAATAAAACCACGGAATAAGCCGAGGCGGCCGTCGCTCGTAAGCTTCTCTCTTTACGAGGATGACTCGACTTGTAGTCGACCGCAGACGAGAGTCGCTCGCCCTTTTCCAACGTCCGTTAAAACGAACTGAAATACGTTTCGTCTCGCAGGAAATGGTCCGACATCTTTGGTACCAAGCCGTGCATATGGCCGATGGGAATAAATCGCGCGACCCCAATCGCGCGAGACCGTTTTGAAATCCTAGATAAAATATTGTTCGAAAGTCTCTTCCCGACGCACATTAAGAGCGCGCGGATTTGACGATAACCACAAATCAGACTTCTCGTTTCATTTAAGCAACGCGACGGTGTGTTTTAAATTAAATAGTCAGGAATTAGAATTTATTTATTATAACGTTCGTACATCTTGTTGTTGTCAGATACATTTCCACATTGTGAACTGTCATATATATATCAAGTATATGCGTATATATATATATATACTTTATGTGTATCTTGTACATGGACGCGCTTTAGCTGCATTGATTCGCATAACGATTATCTCGTTATTCTCACATTCGCTCGCTATATATATATATGTATATATCCATACATCTATAGTTGGAAATTTTTTTTTTTTGGAGAGAAAACAGGTGATATACATAGGCACGTTTTATTATCAATTATTAATCCGTCCGTTTAAACCATCTGATGCTCAACAACATTTACAAATGTTTATATGGAATATATATATATATACCAATATACATAGTGAAACATCGGAAGATAACATTTAATATATACATCAACATTCGGTTATTAACTCTACATCGGTTGTAAAAAAAAAATAAAAAAAAAAAAAAAACACAAATCAAAAATACAAATTAAATACAAAAAAAATAACATCAATATTGTGTAATATAAATTATCGCGTTCTCTCGTTATCTCAAACTCGTTTCCCCAACAGCGTTATGTACAATAAAATTTAATACTACTTGCAAAGAATATACGATCTCTCTTAACATCTCGTTAAAGTCCTATATTCTCTTTTCTCTTATGTGGAAAAAAAAAAAAAACATATAACGGCGCAATAAATAATTTCAACAATTTGTTTGGCAAGCCGCGTTAAAAAAAACAAAATGACACTACGCTCCGCTACTACTGGATCATGTTTTGGCATGTAAACAGGAAAGTGCCAGTATTCACCGTTCCGTACAATTCGTCATAACACGCGCGTGTGCGTGCGTTGCGTGCGGACTTCGCCCGCGTTCTCACACACCTTATACATTGGAAGCAAAAATCCGGCAATACCCGAGACTACGCGAGCGGGGACCGCAAACTACAGGTGAGCGCAAGAAGCATAAAATGAGAGAATCGAGGGATGTGCGTGAGGAGTGAATCGTAAATATAAACTCTTCGTCTTTTTGACGTGTCGTCGCGTCGATCACATGCGCGGAAAGAAGAAGATCCGCGCGCGCGCGCGCGCGGAAACGAGAACATCGTGTTTTTTTGTTTCTTTTTTTCTTACTCTTTTCGTAACCCAACGATTTGTAATATCACGATTTGATAGACATTTGCAAATAAAGGTACATCGGATCCTGTTGTGTTTCTCCCATTTCTTCTGCGGACGCGTCGTATACCCCGAGATCACAGAATGAGAGTTAAAGAACTTGCAAAATAAATCATCGGGCATATCAAATTGTTTTTGTTGTTTTTTTTTTTTTTTTTTTCGTTTCTCGAAGAGTCTTACGATTAAGTCTCGCGATTACGCGTGTTTTTATTTTGAAAAATTCATTCGATTTTATTAATTATTTGTCAGTCCGTAAAGTACGGCGATACGGTGAAACAAGGCCGAGAGACGCTGCTTCAGACTTTGATCTACGGCGTGTCTGGTCAGTATTCGGACGCCGCCGACGAAAACCGGAAGCAACGGAGCCAGTCGTTCGTCCTGCAAAAGAATTCGTGCAAAAGATTTTTCGTTTAAATTGAATGTGAAATGAAAAAACCTTTGCGCGCAATAAAATTTTTCATACACACAGATTGGAAAAAAAAAAAATTTAATTAACATTTAACGATATTTATGAAAAAATTAAAAAATTCTTTACTTTATATACAATTTGCGCAAAATTATTATTGCACCGAAAAAATTGTATTCTTGTTTTGAGGAGAGATATCCCACTTACTTTAAGTATATTTTATACTAAAATAGGCGCCAAGAAGAGTTTCTTATTTTAAGAGAAAAATCCTCTAAATAGTAATATTGATAGGAATATATACTGATTAGAATATAAAAAGCCTCTATAGAAAAACATATATATCTCACTATCGAAAAAGACTATATTCTTAAATAAAGAATATATTCTTAATTTCAGAAGAATATCATCTAAAATCTTTAACAAGATTTTTTTAAGTATAAAATCTTCTACTTACAAGAATATAATTTTTTCGGTGTTGGATTATTTTGTAAAAAAGAAAAATACGCGAAGAGAGAAACATCACACTCACCGGTAAAACCAAGGCCCATTCCAGTGCGGCGCCCAAAGTATCGGCCCAAGCTTTTCTATGCGCCTCGCTGTCTTTGGTTACGTTTCCTCGTTGAAATTCTGTTTCTTGATTAGCGACCGGCTGACTGTCGGCCGCGGATTTCTCATCTTCGTTCCGCAAAAAGGGATTCGTTCTGAATCCACGCTTGCTGCGCTCGTAATCGCGCAGCAATTCGTCTATATTATCGAGAATTTGCGAAGATTTCGAATTGTTCCTGTCTTTCTCTTCGATACATTCTTCCGATTCGCGAGTTTCTTTTTTCGTTGGATCGTCGGACATAGTCCGGACGGTTTTGCCGCGAAGTTCCATCACCGATTTCGGTCGTAGATCCGCGAAATCGGCCAAAAACGAAGACTGACGCGCGTCCTCGAGATCCGTCTTGACAAACGTCAAGGATTTCCTCCTCGATAACGGGCACACGTTATCGCTACCGCGTCTTTCCGAGTATGAGTTTTGATATAAAAAACTCTCGGCAGAGAACGCATTTCGATCCAGCGTCTTCGCATTCGTTGACGTTCCCGCACACGTGTCGGTCGACTTTGTTTTCCAGAGTGAATCCGAATTGTAACAGAGATCGTCGTCACCGCGATATATCAATCTGGTAGGTGCCGGCGTCACGGCGTTATATTTAACATCGATGTAACCCTCGCTGGAAGTTCCGCCGGATCGATCGGGATAAACGATCTTCTCCGTAACCGAACCGAGTCTGGACATCGGTCTGGAATCGTCGGTCTCCGGCTCGGACTGCGGACCCGAATCGGTGGAATATTCGGCGGCCAAGTCCGACAATCTGAAAGGTCTCGGATCGTTCTCGCTCTCGTCTCCGAGTTCCTCCAACCCGCTCTCATCGTCCAAGTTCGGATTGTACACGTCGGCGTCGTCCGGATCGTCCTGATCGTCCTCCTTCTCGTCGTACTGCCGATCCGATTGATCCGGATTAATTTGTTGAATCTCGCGATCTTCTTCTCTCAACGATTCGATGGGTGCCGGAGTGCTGGCAACAAGCCGATCGTCGATGGGTTCTTTTCTGGTGATCTCGGGATAATCGTCGGGTTGCGCAACCAGAAGAAATATCTTCCTCTCCGCGAAACTGTCAACTTTGGTGTATTTGCCGTCCTCGTCGAGAACCACTTCGACGTAAGTCTCGCACAGTTCATCGAACGTTGTGCGGAGTTGTCGAAGATACTTGGTGAGCTTGCGATGCTTCACGTCGTAGACGCACTCCCTGTCGCTCAAACCCGTGCCCAGGATGATCTTGACCAGTTCCAGGGTCGCGTGGAGCTCCTCTATCTCGCGCAGACACAATTCCAACAAAGTTACGATCTTGATGGTCCAGGCGGCGGCCGCTTGACGATACAGATTCGCCGGTTGTTCGAGATTCGCGACCTTCTGAACCAGAAACTTCAAACCGGGTCGACAGTCAAACTTCAACGCCGCGACGTAAGCGAGATCCAGAGCGGAAAGAAAAATCTCCAAGTGATGCGAATTCAGATAGGACAGAAAACCTCGTTTGGCGTTAAGATTGGGGGAGCTGCACGGCGTCGAGTGAGGAATCACGTGGGACAAGCTACGGAAAAAGAATTGGTCCGAGCATTTATTATTTAAATGATTCCACATTTTCTTTGTTGATTCTTGCTTGAACTGGTTGAACTGATCGAGTCTGTGAAATCTACGCGACTTTTTAACATCAAACACCTCCGCGAAAAATCGTTATTTTTTAATTTTTTTTTGTTTGTTTTGTTTTTAATCGAAAGTTTAAGCGATTCTGTGTTGATAGAGAAAAAAAACAAACTAAAAAAATATTTAATAGTTTCAAAGACGTAAGCGTTTAAAAAAACACTAATTTTTACCCAGAGACATCGATGTGCAATTTTCTGGTAAGTCTGGGAGACTCGTGTCAGTTCACGAAGAGGTTTAATACATAAGATTATACTTAAATTAATATTAACCAATTCCATTCACATTAATAAAAACATTAATTAAATTTTGTTGTATTGTATAATTTAAATATTTTATTATTACGCGGACTGTATATACAAATATATATATATATACGAACCTTGAAATCGGAATGCCTGCACCCTGAAGAAGTACACTCGCGATGCACTGAAGTAGCATCTGATGCACCAAAAGCCCAACCACTAACGCGCGTAGTTGAACTCTAACGATGTAGAGATCAGGATTAAGAGTTGTGCCTACAGCAGGAGGATACAAAAGGAACACGTACGACCTTTCATCGGGCGACCGCGAGGCATCTTCGACGCGCGTCTGTTCCTCCAGGAGGAACACCTGAAGACACAAACGTGAATTATGAAGTCCAAGATCGCTTTGCTTTTCAGAATTTTGAATGGTATGATATGACGTAGTTTATTCTTGAAGATTTTGTGAGTTTTTCTTTTTTTTTTTTTTTTCTATAGTTGCAGCTATACGCGAAGAAGCGAAATGGTTGGAAATATTTGTTTAACGCGCGTTATTTTTTTGCTTGTGCAAATAAGATTATGTTAATTATCACAGTATCAATTCTCTCTTCGGATTAATCAAAAGACTTCGAAAATCGATAATGTTTTTGAAGAAAAAAAAATTAGTGACATATCAACGTGCGATACGAATTAGTTGTAAATTATTAGTCGATTGTCAAGAAACAATCACATCAAGAGAAATAATCTTAATTACGATATTATATTAATATAGTAATATTATATTAATATAGTTTTTTTTTATTAATATAGTATGCACTCTTCGGTTGAACGTAACTTTGCAATTTCTTTTATTTGCGCGCGATTTGATGTGTGCACACTACGAAAGCTGCAGCTTCTATAATATGGTGTCGTGTACCGTTACGTACACGTTACTGTGACAGTGAAATTCTAGCCATGGACCCAAGCCATGGATTTTAATGGTGATTCGCAAGACCGTGCCAAGTAAGGAGGTTGAGATGATGTATCAATCATCGACGAGGTCCGTTTCCGTGAATTTTAACAAATTAAATAACGTTCAAAAACTAAAAAAATTTACACATTCATCCGATTTTTAAATATTTTAACTATTTTTTATCAACATGTGTTAAAAAAGACAGACTTTTATCATCAAGTTGACGGATAAACAAAATCTAGTAACAAAATCTTTTTTTTTTTCCAAAAATTTCGATTCGATCAAAAAATTGATCGAAGAAAAGAAACTCGTGTGTCTTTGAAGATTAACAGTTTTTTAAATAATTTTTTATCTCCGAAAAGGACCTCGTCAAAGCGGTTTAAGTAACCCGTGCCTTCTACCAGCTTGTGCAGATGTTAAAAAAAAAAAAAAAAAATTAGTGATTTGAATCGAACGGCGTTTTTTCCTCGTCGACAGGCGTTTCAATTTCGCGGCGCGCTCTTTCGTTCGAGGTGAAGGGTGACAAGTGAACAGTCAACCAGCTGATGATAGAAAGCTCTATATATTTGTGTGAACACAATTCATTCAGCGGGGTACAAAAGTACATAAAAAACATTAAAAATTTATGCCGATATCAGCCACATCGAACAAGCTTCTCGGAACACATCGAAAGCTATATATAGTTTGGTCGATTTTACGCTTGCGCCAATGTAACATATATCCACGCGTACATCTAAAGTATATAAATATAAATATACATATATATATATATATATATGTATATATATTGTTATATTGATATACAAAAATATTGTCTGAGACTGAGAGAGTCGTTCTTCGCGATTCGAACGGGCGGCGAGCATCGAAATCCGGGCCTGTCGACGACGACGACGACGACGACGAGCATGACTGGCAACGCCTCGAATCTGTGTGTGAATCACTCGGCGTGGATATCAGGCACAGTGTTTCTCTATTCACGTTTTTTTTACTCCGCCGGTCCGGAATGGTGATAAATTCTTTCTCGTCGTGATACGCTTTCTTTGTTTTTTTTAAATTTCAATTTGAATTGTTTCTTAAAATCCATGACGTGAGTTACCGTGGTCGGCTAGAGCCATTGGGGGCCTGTGTTCGTCGTAGTGTTAGTGTAATCGGGGGGTGTCGTGTGCTGCCTATAACCGACGGGGTAGGAGGTAGTGTGCTGGTCGATCAGTGTCGTCTCAATGGTCATCAAATCCTGGAAAGGCGTCGTCGTCAGTGACGCCGCGTTCTGCCTCTTGACGGCAGTCAATACCTCGCGCAGCTGGCTCACCTGGGAGCAATTCATGTCAGGACCAAACGTGTCCCTGTATCTCTTTTACTCTATCTTTCTCTCTCTCTCTCTCTCTCTCTTCCTCATTCACTCGCTCACACACTCATATCGAACATTTTATTTTGCTACAAACAACGCGCTCTAATGAAAAATTTCTATCGCAGGGAGATATCTATGTGTAAAGAACGTCGTCTATTATCAGGTAGATTGGTGGCGGTCGGTAATACAAAAAACATCAAAGCTTTTCCGTGATGACTTTGAATTTGAAGTGAGAGAAAAACACATACAAGATTTTTCTATCTCATACTTCGCGATGCCAAATGCGACCCCGTCTGTCTTATTTATTTATTTTTTTTTTTTATTTTTTTTACTTCGTTTTTATGGCAATCACAATGCGTGTATACCTTTATCTCAAACTCGAAGAGAATCGAACGGTCGCACTTGGCGCGTAACAACGTGATAATATGAAATCAGAAACGTGATTCATGAATGATAAATAGAAATAAAGTTTTATCTCTCCTCTATATGTGGGGTGTAGGGGTTTATATCCCGAACATATATATATATATCTATCGAAACCTTGTATGGCTACGGGAGGGGGGCGGGGAACAACACATCGATCACAAGCACATCGAACATATAACAATCAGAAATAATAATTTCGAAGAAGTGTCGGAGTTTCTCTCTCTCTCTCTCTCTCTCTCTTTTTTCTTCCGTCACTTCTTTCGAAAAAGCGAAATCTCGGATTACTTACCTGGGCGGCGAGCTGTCGCAGTCGTTCCGTCTCTTCCGGTGTCGCGTCTCGACGCGCCGCGACCTTCACTTGGGCAACGTCGCCGTAAAAAGACTCGGATCTCGGTGAGAACGCCATGGTCAGTTGGTGCAGCTCCTGCAGCGAATTCGAACAAGCGCGATAACACGCGACACCGCAAACCTCCCATTGTTCCGAGGTGAGAAGCGGCCCGCTGCTCACCAGGACGTGCCTGCCAAACAGGATTTTATTTTCTCTTTTGTAATTTTTCGCTCGCTAGATCTGTAATTTTTTTTCTTTTCTTTTTTTTTTTTAAGTACAACAAAACAACGTGGAAAGAATTTTGTGAAGGAATTTTAAAAATACCAATTGAGATGGTTGAGACAGGGCGTATCTGAACTAGTTACCGGATGGTTTTTGCTGGATACAAAAAATTTTTGTATCCACAAGCTTAACATGAAAACAGCTTGACAATTTCAAAGTGAATGCGCGTTTAATTTATATACCCACTGAGAATGACTGAAAAATACAGTCGAAACGTTTGGTCGAAAATTCGTATTATTTGATTTACACCTACATGCAAAAACCATCCAGCAACTAGTTCAGATACGTCTTGTCTCAACTATCTCAATTGATATTCATCCTGAACCAGAATTTACTTCTAAATTTCATATCATAATTTTAAAAATACATTTTTCTATATGTGCTTCTTAGTTTTTTTATTATTGGGTCTACCGGAAAGTTCTGTCCGTTTTTGGAAATAAAACAAAATACAAATTTTTCTTTACCGTCAATAAACTTTATTAAATAATATAATTGCATCCATTATTATTAATGATTCCTTGCCAGCGTGAGGGCAATTTGTATATCTCATTTTTGAAAAATTAAGAAAAATTTTTATTTTGTTTTATTCCAAAAAACGGACAGAACTTTCCGGTAGACCAAATACAATAGATATTTATAAACTATCTCACACCACGTTACTTTTTAACATCCATTGCCGTGTCGTATCAATACATTGTATCAACACTCACCTCTTGCAATACACCTAGCAAGGACGCGGCAACACAGATACGGGACAGAGAGTAACCGGATTTCTCGCGCTACCGTGATCAGCAACACCTTTTGCCTTTCGGGCAATCGCTCTTTTACCACGCCACGCCGAGAGAATCATTCAATCCACTGAATCACACACAGCGTATGTGAGGAAGTAGCGTTGCCCGCCTGTACTACTACGTACGGCTCTAGGATTTCAGATCGGGATACCGTTCGGCGCGTCATTCGCGCGCGGACCTGCTTCGTCGTTTTTAAAAAAGACCGACTGCGACACACGTACGCGCGCCAACACGTGTACATCGATACCGCGCGGATCGATATCGATTCGCCGGATCGTGTTACGCGAGCTCTTGGACCAGTCGGGTGTGTGTACATACGCGCGTATATTATTTTATTACGAAGAGAAAATCGCGGCGATGACTCTCCAGGTGGATGGACGCGGCGGCGGGGAGAAAGAACGTTGGTGCCAGTCGTTGGCATGAGTCGCTTCGAGAGGGTGTCGAGTGTCGGTGGGCTACTTTATCTCACCGGGGACAGCCTGTCAAGCTTCGTTATCGTCTTACAAACACACACACACACACACACACACACCCCGCGCGCCGTAACGACGATATACTCTCAATACGGCCGCCGTGATACGCATTTTCGTATTTTGGCGAATAATTCGCGTCAATTTCGCGTCTTGAAATTGGGGAACAACAGCGTCGCGTCGTTTGTTTGTAGCGCGAATTGCGTAAGAAAACAAAACGCGAAACTTTTCCATCCTTTCCGTCGCTTTTATGATCCGGCTTTCCTAATTGAGTTGCGAAATCAAGTGGCGACAGCGCGCTGTTTCAATCAGCCGTTAAAAGAACCATATTGCACTCGGTATCTCTCGCATTTGCATTTTAGACACAAAGTTTCTCTTTTTCTATACTTGCAATTCCGCTCGTTTCGCCTGTACCGTCATTGAACATCGATTTGTTATGGCCGATAGACGCGGTGCTAAAACTGCGTAAATATTAACGAAGGTCGCGAGTCGCAATAAAGAGCAAACGAACAAACAAATTACCTCGGCCGGGAATGTTTTCCTTCTCGACCGTTTTGCGATGACCTACCTGATGCAAGCGCAACCTAGACGAGCTATGCTCTCCGTGGGCTGTACCACGCATTCCGCCATCACCAATAAAAGTTGTTTCAACATAAGCGTCGTAGCGGGCAAGTAGGCGTCGTTTCTGACAACTTCCGGACCTGGAATTGCACAATTGCGCGAACGAACGAATTTTTATCAATTACGAAACTTCTATGAAACATTTATTTATTTTTGTCGTTGTAACATTAGACACGATATTTTCGCGTTACCTTGAAGATGCGTCAAATAATCGACCACGAGATCCGTCGTTAGGCCGCAGCACTGCTTGAAGTTGGGCGCGAAGTTGTCCCAACCGCGAAAGATCTTGGACGTTTTTCTCAACCAGTTCTGCACCATCGGCAACAGCAGATGATTAACGCAGTAGAGCCCGAATGACGGTCCGGGCACGTTGAGAATGTCGCGCAACAGATGAAACAGAGTCTCGAGAGTGTGTGGTTGATAACGTCTCGGACAAATCATCGTCGCGCTCGCCAGACCTTCGATCAGAATGTACCAAACTCTGAGAATGCCGCTTGGTTTGTCCAAACTTTGCAACGTGGCGACGGAATGCGCGTCTTTGTCGATCAGCGGGCTCAACACGTCGTACGATCTTTCCGGAATGACGTCCTGCATCGATTCGATGCTGTGCTTGTCGAATCTGGTCAGTTCGAGATTCGGTATGATCGGATCCACGTACTGCGGGATTGTTGATACTTGAATTCTCTGAGCGGAATGAAAGATCGGACATGCCGGCATGCGATACATCGATGACAATATGTCGCTGCAGCTCAGCAGATATTTTAAACTCTCCACGCAGAGACGCATTCTTCTCGATTCCGCGCTGTCGATGTTCTCGGTTTCTTTGACCTGGGTCTCCTGGTTGTCGCCGATACCTCTCACGTGCTTAAGCAAACACAAGATGCAATCGAGGGCGGCGTTGGCGAAGACCAGAGTGTTGTCAGTTGAGAGAAAGACTCTGAAGACTTCCAGCAAAGGTGCCGATTCTACGGAATCCGAGTTACCGATCGACGCCACTCGAAGAGCGCCGAAGAGCGGACGCCAACCCGAACGTATCTCGGTGCGATTCGTCTCGACGAACTCGCAGATGCAGCTGATGATCTAAAAAACTCGTTTTTTTTTTTTTTTAAAGACAATATGCTGAATCGCGTTGTTTTTTTGCAATTGCAAATGCGGTGAGTTGCACTCACCTGATCCTGCACGTCGCTGTCGCAAAGTTCGAGACACAGGAGATTTTCGAACGGTTTGAACAGCGCCTCGTTGAAGTGGAAGTGGGGAAGTTCTATCTGCTCGTTCAACAAGGCCGCCATGGAATCGTGAATGCACTGAACGGCTTTTTTCGAGATGCCGCGATCTTCGTGGCAAGCCGCTTCCATGAAGTGTGGTCCCAAAATAATCCATACCTATAAAAAATTTATTATATTAAATTATACATAAAATATATTAAATTAATATAAAGTGATAACACTACATTTTCGGAATTAATTACAGTTTTGGCGTCGCACGTATGTACAGACGGCGTCATTAATTCGAAGAATAGGCGCGGGGATCGGAGGGCAAGCGGGGCGGTTGCTCGTAGCGCCAACGGGCGCCGTACTAACTAACTAGTAGCAATCGGGTGTCCACAACTGGACACCCGATTTTGGGACTAATGGATATTTGGATCACCTGGACTTTTTATGTGATCCCCGCGCCTATTCTTCGAATTAATGACGCCGTCTGTAC